ATGGCGACGTCACTGAGGTGCTTTCTCCGCTCAGGAAAGGTTGGAAATGTTTCAAATATCCTTCCAGGCGTCGTTTGGTTCTTGTTGACAGCTAACGCCAGTGCTGGTGTCTGTTTCCCCGCAGAATGCCGTCCTGGTCCTGGGTCGGCGGGGCTTTCACGGGAGCTCTCCGGCCGCTGTGCAGGTCAGTGTTAGCCGCTAACAAGCTAGCTGTTGGCTAGCCGTTAGCTAGCTTGTTAGCTAGCTGCGGTGATTTCTGCCGCATGGGAATGTTTTGATCCAAAGGTCACAGTCTGTCCGGGTAACTGAGTGTGTTTATAAAGTCCTGGGCCGCTGTGGAGCGACTTTATCTTGTCATTTGGAGCTGTGGAGGTCATTGGGGACAGATGCGGGCAGCTGTGTAACGTCGGCCCGCATCTGTGACAGGTGTTAGCCGCTGTTTGGTGAAGCCACCTCTGGTGTTAGAACATCTGGAATATGAATCTGTTTAGCTTTTTATTTACCATTTTCTATGTAGAACCACACATTAGGTCGTTCAGTCAAACTGAGAGCTAGAAAGGAGTAACTATTCGCTTGAAAATCACTTAAAAATGGAGAAAAACTAAATAAAAAAGGGGGCAAAACTACTAAAAAAGCCCAAGTTATGTATTTTTATAAGTAATATATTCATGTCTGGGAGCAATATGATGGAAAAAACTATTGAGAAAGATCAAGTTTATGAGTTTAAGTCTTTTTAGTGTTTTTGTAATTCATTAAAATTAGTGTTATCAAATAGGAAACACAGGATAACTTTAGAAATGATTAAAGGGTTGATTTTAGTTCTTTTTTTGTTCATTTCTTGGATGCTAGCGGCAGCAAAGTGAGCACTAACTCATTTTAATTCCAATTAAAGTTGGTATCTCATCAGGAGCCATGTTTTTTATGTCTTTCAAGACTCACTCTAACTCTCTGGCCTTTTAAGACTGTAGATCAACAGCATACTTTTTTTATGTCCCTTAAATGTTTAGGAAATCGTTTACACTTTGTATTACATTTCAAAATATCAAAATCCTTCAGTTTTGAAACTGTTATGAGGTAAAGCCGCATTGAAGGTGATTGAAGGTGAAGGGAGTTGTTTTATTTATGGTGTAAACTAATTATTTAGTGACTCAGCACATCTGAATCTGTTGCTTTAGTTCAGCAGTATCTCATAAAGTCAATGAGATGAGCAAGAAAACCAAAGAATTGTTGGATGGTCCCGCGTTTTTAGAGGCTAATAGTTTCTGATGGAGAGAGAAAAACGGCCTTCAGAGGGTAAGAAGCTACTGTCTCTGCTGCCAGGTGACGGTCCGAGATGCCCTGAACACGGCGATGGACGAGGAGCTGGAGCGGGACGAGCGCGTGTTCCTGATGGGGGAGGAGGTGGCCCAGTACGACGGCGCCTACAAGGTGAGCGGAGGAGCTCCAGGCTAGAAACGTCCCATCCAGCTTTTTTCACTTCTATCCGATACCGATCCCGGGCTATCAGAGCATTTATTAAAGTTATATAAAGTTACTTATTCTACTTACTTAGTTGTCAGACTCATGTTGAACAGGGATTTACTCTGATAACAACCTAATGGTTAGGACACAGACCTGTGGGTTAGGAGATGCTAATGCTAATGCTAAAAAAAATGGATCTGGATTCTGGATCTGCATTTTCTCCTGCCGGCCGATACGCAGTTTTTTGCAAATATCAGCAACCAATCCGATCCAGATATCAGATCGGGAAAAGCCTATTCTGAGCAGCTAATCCAGATAAAAGCTCAGAGTCTGTAAAAGAAGGACCCGATAACAGGTGGGAAGTGTCATTTTGTAGAGACAATTTCAGGAAAAAACTGGTAAAAGCTTTCAAAATGTGTGGAGCTGGTATTTTTTATGCAATATGTTGCCTGTGTTTAATTTTTAAAAGTTAATTTCTGTCCCTTTAACCCCTCCTTTTAACTCCTGGTGGCGTGTGCAGGTGAGCAGGGGTTTGTGGAAGAAATATGGAGACAAACGCATCATCGACACTCCGATCTCAGAGGTGAGACTCAACTTTAGCCAGATATAAGCTAATTACAGTTTACTACTTTAACCAGTTATAAGATACTTATAGTTTACTACCTTTATCAGATATAAGCTACTTTTTGTTTACTACTTTAATCAGTTATAAGCTAATTATAGTTTACTACTTTAATCAGATATAAGCTACTATTTGTTTACTACTCAAGCCACTTATAACGTACTTACAGTTTACTAATTTAGACAGTTATTAGCTACTTTTTGTTTGCTACTTTAATCAGTTATAGTCTACTTTTTGTTTACTACTTTAAACCATTATATACTACTTTTTGTTTACTACTTTAACCAGTTATAACTTATTTTGTTTACTACTTTAACCAGTTATTAGCTACTTTTTGTTCACTACTTTAATCAGTTATAACTTACTTATAATTTACTACTTTAACCAGTTTTAAATGTTTGTTTCATACTGCTCAGTTTTTCTACATTGCACAGTATCCACAAACTGTTATTTGTATTATATTTAGACCTTGTTTACTGGATTTCCATTAGTTTTTTTTGCACATTAACATATATTTGATAGTTTCTACTTATTCTCTTAATTTTTAAGACTTTTATTTCAAATTTTTACTGTGTTGTCTGGGATTATGAGAGCAGAACATGTCTGAGTGTGTATTACAGAACTGAGCTTTATAAAAACTGTTCATTGTGGGACTCTTGTGTCCAGATGGGGTTTGCTGGCATCGCCGTGGGAGCCGCCATGGTGAGTTCCTCCTCCGTCCATTTGACCCCCTTTTTGGGCCTTTTACAGCCAAACCTCTACATCCGAATTTGATTATTTCCGGGACCAACTTCCTATGTTAGAATATTCGTATGTTGGTTCAAATATTCCCATCAGAATACACTGTAATTCCTATAATTCGTTCCAAAAACCTACGATGACTCCTTAATAAATACTGCAGATAATTATACATGGCAGTAAAACAAATGCAAAGAATGCCTATTTTTCCTCATCAGATGGTTATCAATTTTTATAAATTCACATGATGTGATTTTCTGGAATTTTCTTTGGGATTCTGTCTTTCACTGTTAGAATGTACATATGATTAAAGTTATAGATCGTTGCATTCTTTGTAAGTGGGCAAACCTGCAAAATCAGCAAGGGGTCAAATACTTATTTCCCCCACTGTATACATATATATACAGTATATATATATATATATATATATACATACAAGGACGTTTTTCCTTGCCTGTGTTGCCTAGTGCTTGCTCATGGTGGGAATTGTTGGGTTTCTGTAATTAACTTCATAGTAGGGTCTGACCTGCTCTGTTTGAAAAGCTGTGAGACAACTGTTGTTGTGATGTGGCGCTATATAAATAAAATTGAATTGAATTGAACATATATATAGACGTTCTGCTGAGTCCCGCCTCCCTCCTGATTCTGTCTGCAGGCCGGCCTGAGGCCCATCTGTGAGTTCATGACCTTTAACTTCTCCATGCAAGCCATCGATCAGGTCATCAACTCGGCGGCTAAAACCTACTA